AAACACAGACGCTTGTCACAAACACTCGGGAGTTTCACCTGTTTTCTGCTCCAGCAGGTGAAATGTGCGTCTGATTACTTGGATCACTAGATGTGAGGAAGAAAAGTAATTTCTTACATTCATAACGGCATTTTTTCTTACCTTATTAGATGTATGCATCATCTTTTATGTCAAATGCTTACATTTAAGCAATAAATTCAATTTGACATTAAAACAGTGTCAACAAAATTTAGTTTTGCACTGCAGAAGCAGCATTTACACTGCTATTACAATAATATACATTGTAATTGCAGTGTATATAATATTTTTAATACTGAAATATGAATTTTTTTTGTTTAATGAAATGACACGAAATAAAATCCGTCATAAATAAATGTAAATAAATTATGTTAATTAGTAACACGCGAGTCATTGAATTCATTAATACAATTTATTTAAATTTAAAATAGAACTGAAAATAAAATACCAACAATAGTATTAAATAAAACAATAATAATATTAAATAAATATTTTAAATAAATATAAATAAATTCAGTAAAGTGTGAGTCATTTAATTCATGTTACTAGTTAATATAATTTATTTACATTTAAAAAAAATATTACAAAAATATTTAAAATTTATTTTTAATAAGTTAAAATAAATTATCCATGTTACTAATTCATATAATTTATTTAAATTTAAAGCAAATTTTGCTAATTGTTAATTTTCAATTGTACGCTGAACAGACATTTTATTTAAAGAAATCTTATTTGAATTCACTTTTAATGTGTGTAAAGAGTGAGTCACTGAATCATTCATTCAACCGATTCATTCAAAAAGCTTCATTCAGAAACAAGGCAAGTGGCTCTTTATGAATGGATCACTGAATCACTGAGTCATTCAAAAACACTGATTCATTCAGGAACGGAAAACCAATTTGTCGCTCGACATTTTTTATTGGTGAAATAGAGCAAAAACAGACAGTATCGTGTCTAAAATGTAAAACTGCTAAACTATATAATTTACTCATACACTACCAGTCAGAAGTATTTTGTCTTTATCGTCACTTTTGATCAATTTAAAGCATCCTTGCTAAATAAAAGTATTAATTTCTATCATTTCCCAAGGAAAATAAATATATACTGACTCCAAGCTTTTGAATGGTATATGTAGCCTATAATGTTACAAAAGCTTTTTATTTCAGATAAATGCTGATCTTTGGATCTTTTTTATTGGATCTTTCTTACTGTTCAAAAAAAATTTGACTGGTAGTGTATGTATGTATGTATCACACTCAGGGACGTGTGGACACTCATTCTGGACTTCATGATTTTTGAGGGGGCACGAATGGGTGGGTGGGGGCTCGTCATTCTTGTCATGTGACACAGCAGCCACAATAGCATTGTATAACCGATATAGGCTTATGTTTTTTTTTTTTTTTCTTTTTTATTCGAAATTT